TAGAGCCGCTCCAAAAGACTACCGGACTCGGCTTCTCTCCCAGATCGGTCCCCTTCAAGGCCTCAGGCCATGTCCCCTCGGCCCAGGTCCGCCTCCTGCCTCTTGACCCATCTTCAGTCTGGATCCCCTTATCGCCTCAAGACGCTGCTGCCCGTTTGGGTGCCCTCAGCTCGCGGCCCTCCCACCATCTCAGACGGTCTCTCTTCAAACCGAGCTCCCACAGCCCGGCCCCCCCCGGCCCTTGGCCGGTGTCCTCTCTGCTACTTTAGACCGTGGCTCCTCCTCCGGGAATCCCCTCCGTTCTCTAGGCTCGAGCCCCGCGACTCTACTCCGTCACTTCAGGCCGTGACTCCTTCGTCCTCTCGGCATAGGTCCCCGCCGACCCCTCGGCATGGTTCTTACCCAAACAGGCCCGAGAAGAAGGACTGTGAGTTTTTCACTTTGCGCTCCGCCTCGGCCAGCAGCGCCATCGCCTCCGCTTCCTTCCCGGAGTTGTCCATGGCGGCCGCGAAGGTACTCAGCAAACGGCCGGACCCGGGCCCACGGGGGACTCAGCCGCGGCCCTGCCGCGGTAGACAAGTCGGGGGAAGCTTAGCGGGCTGCGTTGACGTCGCACCGGCGCGCGCCCCCTGCTGCCCGGCACCATGTGACCTGCGCGGTCCAACCAGCGGCCTGGTAGAGGTGCGCGCGCCCTGCCGGCCACGCCCCCGCCATCCGCCGCACCCCGCCCCGTGACTCACGGCCTCCAATCGGCGAGCCGCCGCTTCGACGCTTGCGCATACAGCCGCGCAGGACGCCCCACTCTTCCTGGTGCGCGCTACGACATCCCACGTGACTCGCATAAGCCAATCGTGGTCCCCGCCGTCAAAGACTCGACCCTGAAGTGCTATACTGTGGCTCCTGCTCCACCAATCAGCAGCATCCTCCATCTCGGCCCGTACTTCCCCTTGGAACTTGCGCCGCAGTCAGCTGACCACCGACCCTCACGTGACAGCTCCCGGCCCTGGCCGCAAGCTACGCCCCGCCCCTGTCCCGGTTTGACAGGTCTCCTGCGCACCGCTTAGGCCCCGCCTCCGCGCCTTATCTCGCGGGGTTCTTCATTAGGAGAAGCGTAAGCGGTGAGGCATCGGCTCTGCCTTTTTTTTGCGCCCTCTGCCGACGGATACTGAAACTGGTTTGGGAACGCAGTCAAGTACTTAGCCGGGAACAAAACTAAGCGAGGGCCGGCTCTGGTTTCTTAAAAAAAAAAAAAAAAAGCTGTAGCAAGCGTGTCACAAATTCACACACCCGGAGCCCAGATCGTTGTTTTTAATACCATTCTCCAGTAAAAGGAACAGAAACCAGGGCTCCTTGAGGCTTGGGCAGGACATTACACAGGACGAGCCTGGAGCATCTCCTAGTGCCAAGAAGGAAATGTATGTCTCACACACACACACACACACACACACACACAGCACACACGGTAGGGTATGGCAAAGTGACGAAGGGGCCAGCTGGAAGAGTTGCCCGTGGCCCAAACTGAACGACACAGTAAACTAGTATTGGATTATAATCCAATGTATGAAACATTCCTGGGACCATGGTGGTTTAAATTTTTTTTTTAATGTTCTTTTTTATTTATTTCTAGGAGAGAGAGAGAGAGACAGCGTGAGCAGGGGAGGGTCAGAGAGAGAGGGAGTCACAGACTGAAACAGGCTCCAGGCTCTGAGCTGGCAGTCAGCACAGAGCCCAACGTGGGGCTCGAACCCACGAACCGCGAGATCATGACCTAAGCGAAAGTTGGACGCTTAACCGACTGAGCCACCCAGGTGCCCCGGGACCATGGTGGTTTAAATGAACGATCGAATAAATGGGGAGAATAGGCAGATATTTCGTGCAGAAGAGCTCCGAATAATTTATGTGGATACTCCTTCCTCAAGAAGGTGGAGGGTACCTCCTCTCTCCCTAGTGGGCCGTCCTCAGTGATCTCCCTCCAGAGTGCGGTATGGGAAAGGAACGGGGAGACTAGGTTTCCAGGGGAGAAGCCTGCACTGTCGGCCAGGTGCTTGAGGTGACGATCAAAAGGTGAGTCACGGTGACAGAATGCACTCTAGGTGATGAGAAGCGAGTGGTGCTTCACCTCTGTGGTCTCTCTCCCCACCAGAGAAATCCCAGTTGAGGCACATTCTTGGAAATACTTGACCAGGGTTCTCAACGCGGTCAACTCACTAAAAACAGGGAAAGGCAAGAAACCGTCAAGGCCAAGAGGAGCCTACAGAGACATGACTATTAAATGTGGTGTAGTATCGGGGCACCTGGGTGGCTCCGTGGCTCCGGCGGTTAAGTGTCCAACTGCAGCTCAGGTCATGATCTTGAGCTCTGTGGGTTTGAGCCCCGCATCGGGCTCTGTGCTGACAGCTCCCAGCCTGGAGCCTGCTTCGGATTCTGTGTCTCCCTCTCTCTCTGCCCCTCCCCCACTCACACTCTGTCTCTGTTTCTCTCAAAAATAAATAAACATTAAAAAAATAAATGTAATGTGGTATCCTGGTTGGGATCCTGAAACAGAAGATGAATGTTAGGTAAAAACCAAGGAAATGTGAATAAAGTATGGAGAATTACTAATAATGTGTCAGTAACGGTTTGGTAATTGCAACAAATGTACCATACTCATCTAGGATATTAATAACACGGGGAACTGGGTATGGGATATATGGAAATTCTCTATCATTTTCACACAATCTTTCTGAAAATCTAAAAACCATTCTACGAAGAAAGATTCTTATGAAAGATCTAAGTTTTTGGTGGGCCTGGGTGGCGTAGTCAGTTAAGCATCTGACTTTTTAAAAAATTTTTTAATGTTTTATTTATTTTTTGAGAGAGAGATAGAGACAGAGTGAGCAGGGGAGAGTCAGAGAGAGAGGGAGACACAGAATCTGAAACAGGCTCCAGGCTCTGAGCTAGCCATCAGCACAGAACCCGATGCAGGGCCCGAACCCACGAACCATGAGATCATGACCTGAGCCGAAGTCGGACACTTAACTGACTGAGCCACCCAGGCGCCCCGCATCTGAAAAAAGTTTTTAATTTACTTATTTTTGAGAGAGACAGAGACAGCATGACTGGGGGAGGGGCAAAGAGAGACTCCCAAGCAGGTCCATGCTGCCACCACAGAGGCCGATGCAGGGCGTGAAGCCATGAAATACTGAGATCAGGACCTGAGCTGAAACCGAGTCGGATGCTCAACCAACGGAGCCACTGAGGTGCCCCTAAGCATCTGACTCCTGGTTTCGGATCAAGTCATGATCTCACAGTTCATGAGTTCAAGCCCTGAGTTGGGCTCCGTGCTGACAGTGTGGAGCCTGCTTGTGATTCTCTCTCCCTCTCTCTCTGCCCCTCCCCCGCTCATGCGTGCAATGAATAAACTTAAAAAAAAAAACAATTAAAAAAACCAAACAATTCAGTGGGGCACGTGGGTGGCTCAGTTGGTTAAGCGTCTGACTTCGGCTCAGGTCATGATCTCGCAGTTCGTGGGTTCGAGCCCTGCATCAGGCTCTGTGCTGACAGCTCAGAGTCTAGAGGCTGTTTCAGATTCTGGGTCTCCCTCTCTCTCTGACCCTCCCCTGCTCATGCTGTGTGTGTGTCTCTCTCAGATATAATTAAAAACATTAAAAAAAATTACAAACAAAAACAATTCAAGCTCCAGGGCCCTCCCCACAATGACTCCAGCTATGAAAGTCTGTGTCAGAATCCAGGAACACACATTTTCTTCCAGGACTCCCAGCTGATGGGGATGCAGAGAATTCAGGGTCTGCCGGGTGAGGAAACGCTGTTGTCTGGAGGCGGGGATTGGGGTAGCGGCGGGATGGTGGCCATTCACAAGAAACCTTTGTTCTCTTCTTACATTCAGATACTCTCTCGGAGCACACACTTGTGGCTGCTGCCGCATTCTGACCACACGGCAGGTGGGGGGCCGGGGGCGGCGGGGGGGGGGAGGGAGTCTGGATCACCATAAGCGGTTTCAGTTCTGTGTCCGTCTAAGCGACCCACAAACTAAAGCTTCTGTTTGTTTCAAGCTGTTGTTTCAGGGCAATCTGTTATGCAGCAACAGACCACTAATATACCATGCAACTGTGAAGCCAGCGTTTTCATTTCCAGAAATTTAGCTTGGTCTTTGGGGTGGGACCCAAACGATAATAACTATGGCAGGAGGACACATCAAAGGGCAGCGGCTCAGGTCCTCCACGTACCCTGCGAAATGCTTCATTCACATTCTCTCATTTAGCAGACATGTGGTGGAGGGTGCTTTGCAGCCCATTTCACAGGAGAAAACTAAGGCTGAGACAGGGAAAGTGACTTTCCCAAGGTCACAAAGAAAGGAGTTGGGGGTGGGGGACTGGGTGGCTCAGTCGGTTAAGCATCCGAGTCTTGATTTTGGCTCAGGTCATGATCTCGCGGTTTGTGAGTTCGAGCCCCACATCAGGCTCTGTGCTGAGAGCCCAGAGCCTGGAGTCTGCTTCCGATTCTGTGTCTCCCTCTCTCTGCCCCTCTCCTGCTTGGGCTCTGTCTCTCTCAAATAAGTAAACACTGAAGAAAAAAAAAAAGAGACACAAGGGAGGGCTGTGCTCCCTTCCCTGGACCCCGAAGGTCGACATGCTGAGGCGGCTGCCGCTGGCGGTCCCGGGCCTCATGGCTGCGCCACCCGCACCACCGCATACCCCGGATCACTGAACCCTGTGGTGACCTTCCCGTTGCCGGGGCTGCGGTCAATATCTACAATCACCCTCTCATGTATTCGTCATGGCCACCTTCCCACCCCTAGAACGCAAGCTTCACGGGGAGAGGGACCCTGTGCCTTGCATCACGGTGACCCCATTGCACGGACCGGACACCATGTGGTTCACAGTATGGTGGGTGCTTCTTAGCTGCCGGCTGAACGAGGGTATGGGCCCCGGCTCCTCGCGGGCGGGGGCTCCGCTTACTGTCTCTGTGGCCCCAGGGAGCAGCAGGCCAGGGAGCCAGAAGACAGTGGTTCACGAACCCAATTTAATAAGATTTACAAGTCGACACGTACAAAAAACCCTAACAATGTACAAGTCATTGCAAGACTCTGGACTGAATCTGAAATGCAGAGAGACGCCCCTGGGGAGGGGCCCCAACAGGTTGGAGATCTGAAGGTATTTTCCCACTGATTCTCGACGTCTTGGCCTTATCTAACAAATGTAACCAAACCCCCAAACTGAGGCTATGATTTCAGAGCTACCCAGATCTGCCTCGCTCCCTCCGCAAGCCCCCCTGCTCTGGGAGTGGGGAGACACTATGAACCTAAAGAGCACGAAGCCTCTGGCACCAGCCAGCAGGGACACGGCCTCGGTCTGGGGACCTGGAGCTTCTCTGGATGATTTATGGCTGGCCTCTGAGGGGCAGGGGGGGGGGGGGGGGGGGGCGGGAGGCAGAGGGGGGCCCAGACCTCCCAGAGAGGCCAAGGGGCAGGGTGGCAGCCGCTCCCCACTCGCTGCCCCGCCCCAGCTCACCGCCCAGGAATCACCACTGCAGGGGGCCCACGTCGGCCCCCATCTCCTCCTCCTCCTCCTCCTCCTCCCTCAGCTGGAAGGGCTTCACCGGCCACTTCACCCTGACGATGGGCTCCACGTGGTCCTGAAGCCGGTGTCGCTTCATGTGGGCATTTCGACTCTTGATTTTGTCAAACACCCTGAGGAGTCACCAGAGGACGTGGGTCAGAGCGGGGGGGCAGGAGGGGCACCACCGAGGGCAGCCGTGGCGGGGGTGGGTGGGGTGGGTGGGGGAGGGGTGCACCCCCAGGGGAAGGGCTGGTACCTCTCACATTCTCTGCAGGGGAAAACGCCCTGGCCCTCCACACTCCCCTGCGGCTCAGGGGTCCGCTTGGGGCCGGCGTTGGGGCTGGCGTTGAGAATGGGCTCTCTCCTGTAACTCTTGGTCTTTATCTTGAACTCGGGAGTGGGGCGGTGGCTGGGTCTCTCCCGAGGGCTGCAAGTGACCTGCAGAGGGCAGAGAGGCCGGGCTGAGGGTGCCGGCCCCACCCGTCCAAGGGAAGGCTCTCCTCAGCAGGGAAACCCTTCCCTCGGGCGCCCTTCCCCGCTCCTTGGCCTGGGCGGGCAAGGCCTTGGGATCTGAACTCCAGCCCCGCCTTCCCCCAGACCGTCTACCTTGGCTTCTGTCCTGTCTGCCTCCTCTGGCTCTCTCCTGACCCTCTTTTCCAGCCCTGGGGCTCGGCCACAGTCAAACTTGATCATTTTTTTCCAGATGTAATAATACTCCACACACTGGGCTACCGTCTTTGTCTGAATCTAATGAAAGAAAACAGAAGGCGGCTATGGGCCACGCGTCACAAGGGGCCTCACGCGTCGCCTAAATCCCCTCCCCCCGGGGCTGGTCCCTTTCTGAAAGCCTTCCTGAAATGTCTCTCTGCTTCAGCCTGGCAGCACCCCTTCGCTGCAAGGGGCGGAGAATCACAAAGTCCTCCCAGCTGATGAGGGGTTCGGGGTTCGGAGCGAAGCCACCAGAGTCAACACCGGCTAAGCTCTGCGGGCCCTGAAGGGCAGGTCCCCCGCACCCTCCGGAGGCTCCCCTGCGGGAAGGCGGCCTAGAAGCTGTACTTCCAGCATGTTCCCTGTGTCATCGCGCCCAGCAGCCACACACTTGCCCACAGGGACTAATGAAAGCAGGCCACCCTCAGCGGGGGGCGCCTCACAGCCTTGGTGACCGCCAGGCAGGGCCCTGAGGTGCAGAGGAAAGCGGCCAGAGGGGAGGAGGCCATCCTGAGGGCACCGTTTGATCCTGGGCACTCAGGCCCCACCGTTTGCTCCTCCCTCCACTGAGAAGTGACCCACGGACCGGACGAGAACTTCTATAAAAACAAAACGCAGTGGAAAGGTTTCATGGCTCTGGAAAGAAATGGCGCCGGTACATTAAATGGGCCATCTCGTATCTGGAGCTCACTTCAGAAAACACCTCCTCCGCGGTAATTTTTCTCAGCTTTGAGTGTCTTCACAAAGTAAGAGTCAAAATAGTACATCCCTGCCCGCCTGGGGAATATCACAGAGTTAAAAAAAAAAAAAAGTTGAACGTCTGCTTCCGAACAAGACAGAGCAACAGGGGCTAGATCTCTCTTCCATCCAACACAGTGAAAAGACACAGGTAAAATATAGGAAAGGACGGTTGGTAAGACATCAGGCATCAGTCAAAGAAGTCTTTCTGAGAGGCAGAAAATAAAACTAGCACCTTGGGACAGTTAGCGGGCCACAGCTGGGGGAGGGGCCCAGGCAGAGCCCGGCAGCTTCCCGGAGTCGGAGTCGACAGGAAGGAGCCGAGCGCCTGGGACCAGGGTGGCAGGAGCCCACAGGACAAAGTACAGCAGAGGAGACAGCGGCACGGACACTCGAGATCGGGGGGGAGGTGCCCTCAAGGTTCAGCCAAGTGTGTGTGTGAAGAGACCAGGCGAAGCGAGGTCAGGCTCATGCAAGATCGGAGGCAAAGGCACCCGTGGCTTTCACGGGGCCAGGAATGGTGCGTCCCCCCCAGCTGGGGTGGGAAACCTGGTCACTGCCCATCAGGCCTCAGTGCCTCGGGGGGCACTGGTAGAGTAAGGAGGAGGCTTCTGCCTCAGACATAAAGAATAATTCATTAGGGGCGTCTGGGTGGCTTAGTCGGTTAAGCGTCCGACTTTCGCTTGGGTCATGATCTTGCGGTTCATGGGTTCGGGCCCCGCGTCGGGCTCTGTGCTGACTGCCAGCTCAGAGCCTGGAGCCTGTTTCAGAGTCTGTGTTTCCCTCTCTCTCTGACCCTCCCCTGCTCACGCTGTCTCGCTCTCTCTCCTAGAAAAAAAAAAAAAAAAAAAAAAAAGAGTAATTCATTAGCCTTAGACGGAAGCTGTTCTGGTCCCACGGTAAAACACCTAACAGCAATACCCCAAAGGAACAAGTTGTGGGGCACGTGGGGGGCTTGGTCCATTAAACGTCTGACTCTTGACTTTGGCTCAGGTCATCACCCCAGGGTCGTGGGACTGAGCCCCGCATCAGGCTCCGATAGCACAGGGGCCTGCCTGAGAGCGTCTCTCTCCGTCTCTCTCTGCCCCTCCCCAACCCGCACACATATGTGTGTGCGCGCTCTCTCTGTGTCTCAAAATAGATTAAATTTTATAAGGAAAATGTTGTTTTCAAGTAACCCTGTGCCAAAACAAAGTTCAAGAATATTTATAAGAGTGCAAAAGTATCCAGCACCAACAAGCTGAAATCCACAATGCCTAGAATCTAATGAAAAATCACCAGGCATGCAAAGAAGCAGGAAAATACACAATGGGGAGAAAAGTCAATCTGTCAAAATCAACCCAGAACACACACAGATGTTAGAACTAGCAGCGAAGGACATTAAATATGGTTATATTTGCATCATATATGATCAAAAAAGTAAGTAGAGACATGGAAGATATAAAAGAGACCCAAAGAGCCTAGGTGGCTCAGTCGGTCAAATATCCGGCTTCGGCTCAGGTTATGATCTTGTGGTCTGTGAGTTCAAGCCCCACATCAGGCTCTCTGCTGGCAGCCCAGAGCCTGAAGCCTGCTTCGGATTCTGTCCTCTCTCTGCCCCTCCCCTGCTCATGCTCTCTCTCTCTCTCAAAAATAAATAAACATTAACAAAATAATAAAAATAAAAAAAGAGACCCAAAGAGAACTTTTAGGGACAAAAAAAAAAAAGTTTAACCTGAAAATTACACAGCATGGGAGGATGGCAGACTCAGCACCGCATAAGGGAAGACACAGTGATAGAAACCATCCAAAATGAACCACACAGAGGGAAAGCAGTGGAAAAAATGAAAAAGAGTCTCAGTGAGCCGTGCAGCAAGTGCAGGAAGCCACACATACATACACACACGCACACACACATGCACACACACACGCACACACACCAGTGCGGTCCTTGAAGGAAAAGGAAGGGACACAAGACATATTTGAAGAAGGAAGGCTGAATATCCCCCAGTTTAATGAAAACTACAAACCCACAGATGTAAGAAGCTCAACAAACACCATCCATAAGAAAACAAAAAAGGAGAGGGGCGCCTGGGTGGCTTAGTCGGTTAAGCGTCCAACTTTCGCTTAGGTCATGATCTTGCATTTGGTGGGTTCGAGCCCCGCGTCGGGCTCTGTGCTGACTGCCAGCTCAGAGCCTGGAGCCTGTTTCGGTCTGTGACTCCCTATCTCTCTGACCCTCCCCTGCTCACGCTGTCTCTCTCTCTCTCTCTCCTAGAAATAAATAAAAAAAACATTTAAAAAAAAATAAAAAAAAAAAACAAAAAAGGAGAAAACCACGGCAAAGCAAACACCGTAATAAAACCACTCAAAACCAGTAATAAGGAAAAACTCATACAAACAGCAGCCACAAAACAAACAAAAGACATATTTGTGCATAGGAACAAAGACAAGGAAATCAGGAGATTTCACGCTGGAAACAATAAAAGCAAGAAGAAACTAGAGCAACATCTATAAATTTCTTCAAGAATTAAAAAAAAAACTGTCAAACTAGAATTCCACACCTTAGCAAAGATAGCTTTCAGAAATGAAGGCAAAGTAGAGATTTTTCTAGAAATGTTTATTTATTTGGAGAGAGAGAGAGGGAGTGCACGCACAAATGGGGAAGGGGCAGAGAGAGAGGGAGAGACAGAATTCCAAGCAGGCTCCGCACCACCAGTGCAGAGCCCGAAACGGGGCTCAAACTCACGAACCGTGAGATCATGGCCTGAGCTGAAATCAGACGCTTAACTGACTGAGCCACCCCAGGCGCCCCCCGCCAGAATAAAGACGTTTTTAGATACACAAAGGCTGGAAAAACCCATTACTAGCAAACCTGCACCACAAGGAATGTAAAAGGATTTACATCTATCTATTTCTTTCTGGAAAATGATACCTGATGCAAACACAGACATACACAAAGGGATGCATAGCTGTGAAAATAGTAACTACATGGGTAAAACATAAGACTTCATATTATTGAAATCTCTCTAAAAATAACTGGCTGTTCAAACAAAAATGATAATAAGGTATCGTGAGGTTGATAACATATAGAAAATAAGATGCATCACAATAATAATATAAAGGCCAGGAGCAGAGATGGAAGTACACAAATCTTCTGCACGCATAGTGTTACCTAATCACTTGAAGTTTCGACTGTGGTGAGTTAAGGATGTATAGTTAAAAACCCTAATGCAACCACCAAAGTAGTAACGAGTTATAGCCGAAAAGCCAACATTAGGAGATAAGACAAAATCCTAAAATTTACTACTCCAATAATCCCAAAGAAGACAGAAAAAGCAGAAAGGGGAAACAAAGATCAGAGGAGACGAACAGAAACCAAACAGTGAGATGATGGAGTTGAACTTAACCATCTCAATAATCATGTTAAATGTGAATGGTCTATGGGCGCCTGGGTGGCTTAGTTGGTTAAGCGTCTGACTTTCGCTTAGGTCATGATCTCGTGGTTCGTGGGTTTGAGCCCCGCGTCGGGCTCTGTGCTGACTGCCAGTTCAGAGCCTGGAGGCTGTTTCAGAGTCTGTGACTCCCTCTCTCTCTGACCCTCCCCTGCTCACGCTGTCTCTCTCTCTCTCTCCTAGAAATAAATAAAATATTAAAAAAAAAAGAATTTAAATGTGAATGGTCTAAGCACCCTAACTAAAATACCAAATATTTTTTAAAAATATTTTTTATTTATTTCTAGGAGAGAGAGAGAGAGAGAGAGACAGCGTGAGCAGGGGAGGGTCAGAGAGAGAGGGAGATACAGACTCTGAAATTAGCTCCAGGCTCTGAGCTGGCAGTCAGCACAGAGCCTGACATGGGGCTTGAACCCACGAACCGCGAGATCATGACCTAAGTGAAAGTCAGACGCTTAACCGACTAAGCCACCCAGGCGCCCCCCAAATACTTTTTTAAAAAGGCATACAATGAAATATTATTCAACCATAAAGAAGAATGAAATCTTGCTATTTGCAACAACACAGATGAAGCTGGAGAGTATAACGCTAAGTGAAATTAATTGGAGAAAGACAAATACCACAGGATCTCACTCACGTACGAAATTTAAAAACAATTGAAAAACAAAGAAAAAAAGAGACAAGTAAGAAAACAGATTCTTTTCAAAAAATGTTTATTTATTTATTTTGAGTGGGGGAGGGGCAGAAAGAGAAGACAGAGAGAGAATCCCACGCAGGCTCCACACTGTCAGCGCAGAGCCCAAGGCAGGGCTCGAACTCAAACTGAGATCATGACCCGAGCTGAAATCAAGAGTTGGACGCCTAACCAACTGAGCCACCCAGGTGCCCCAAGGAAACAGATTCTTAACTACAGAGAACAAACTGCTGGTTACCGGGGGGCAGGGGGGAAGCGGGGGGATGAAAAACGGGTGAAGGGGATTAAGAGTATCCTTATTTTCTTTTTTAATTTTAATTTTTCAATTTTTTTAGTGTTTATTTTTTAGAGGGGGAGAGAGAGAGAGAGCAGGGGAGGGGCAGAGAGAGAGGGAGACACAGAGTCTGAGGCAGGCTCCAGACTCCAAGCTGTCAGCACAGAGCCCGACACGGGGCTCGAACCCACGAACCATGAGATTATGATGTGAGGCAGAGCTGGACGGCTAACTGACTCAGCCACCCAGGCGCCCCCAGAGCACAGTTATCTTGAGGAGCACTGAGCGATGTACAGAATTGCAGAATTAGTATATCGTACACCGGAAACTCATGTAACACTTTATGTTAAGTGTACTTCAATTAAAACACGTTAAAAAAGCAACATCGAACACACATAAGGACACTTAGACATAAAAATACTGATACGTTAAAAGTAAGAGGACGAAGAAAGATATTCTGTGCGAACACGCATCACCCATTCTGAGAAAGTGGAGAGGTTGGCTGCTGTTAGAATAGGAAAATAGATTTTGGAGCAAAAAATAATAGCAGAGATAAAGGAAGTCAGTTCATAAGGATAAAAAGGTCAATTTAATCAAGAGGACCTAAGAATCCTCAGTGTTTATGCATCTGAACCAGAGCTTCAACACACATGCAGCAAAACCTGACAGAACCCCAGGGAGAACGGGCCATGGCCACAGCCGCGCGCCCTAACGTCCCATTCGCGGTAACTGCTGGAGCGAGCAGACAGGTAAGGGAACAGGCGACCCGAACCACACCATCAACCATCTTGGACTGATATTTACTTACTTATAATTTTTGTTAATGTGTATTTATTTTCAAGAGAGAGAGACGGTGCGAGCAGGGGAGGGTCCGAAAGAGAGGGAGACACAGAATCTGAAACAGGCTCCAGGCTCTGAGCTGGCTGTCAGCACAGAGCCCAATGCGGGGCTCGAACCCACGATCCACGAGATCATGGCCTGAGCTAAGTCGGACGCTTAACCGACCAAGCTCCCCAGGCGCCCCACGACCATGGCGTTTTAAAATTAGGAACTGTTTGCGATCCAAGCCCAGCAGTCACCCCGGTGGGCCTGCGGGCTCTAGCCCGGCTCAGCTGTGTGAGGCGGGGCCTTGTCTACACCCGCACCCACGTTCACCTTACCGTCTTGTGTATCAAGTAAAAGTCCTTCTTGTGGGTGCAGAACGCCTTCTTGAAAAGCCTCTTCTCCATGGGGGTCCAGGTGTCTGAACCTGTTGGAGAAACAGGCGAGAGGGGGAAGGAAGGGCTGAAGTGCGGGCCCCTCCTTTCTACAGCTGCCATTGCCAAGCGCAGTTCCGTGTTGAGCCGCTTGCTGAGCCCCTCACTTGCTCAGCCTCATGCAACCCTCACCCAAACCTTAGCAGGCAGGGACCGTCGCCGTCTCCTCTTTACGGACTGAGGCTCCCATCCGCTGAGGGACTTGCTGAGGCCACAGCCCTGGCGGTGTGGCTCCAGGGCTGGCGAGCCCCGCCGCCGCACCCCAGGCTGCCCCCCTGGCCGGGCAGAGTCCACGAGGGAACCCCAAGAAAGGGAGAGGGCAGGATGCAGCTAGCAGAAACCGCGCCCCCGAAGCCGCCCCCGGAGAGGACAGGCCCTGCGGGAAGGGCAGGTGACAGCCCCCCTGAGAGCTGGCTCTCGGGACCGACTGCTCCCAAGGTCGCGGCCAGGCAAAACCCGCCGCCGTCTCGCCCCAGTCACCTGTGTAGCGGTAGTCGGCCAGTGGGTGGGCCTGCAGCTTCTGGGGTCCTCTGAGTAGGAGGGTCTCCAGGGCGACCTGAAACAGGAGGGGAGCGCAGGCGAGCGTGTCGTTCATCCATTTAGAAAACACCTAGAGGGGCGCCTGGGTGGCTCAGTCGGTTGAGCGTCAGACTTCAGCTCAGGTCATGGCCTCACGGTTCGTGGGTTCGAGCCCCACGTCGGGCTCTGTGCTGACTGCTCGGAGCCTGGCGCCTGTTTCCGATTCTGTGTCTCCCTCTCGCTGTCCCTCCCCCTGCTTACGTTCTGTCTCTCTCTCAAAAAAAAGTAAACATTAGGGGCGCCTGGGTGGCTTAGTTGGTTAAGCGTCCTACTTTCGCTTAGGTCATGATCTCGCGGTTCGTGGGTTCGAGCCCCGCGTCAGGCTCTGTGCTGACTGCCAGCTCAGAGCCTGGAACCTGCCTCGGCTTCTGTGTCTCCCCCGCTCTCTGCCCCTCCCCTGCTCATGCTCCGTCTCTCAAACATAAATAAACGTTAAGACAGTAACAGACTACGGGGGTGCCTGGGTGGCTTAGTCGGTTAAGCGTCCGACTTTCGCTTAGGTCATGATCTCGCGGTTCGTGGGTTCGAGCCCCATGTCGGGCTCTCTGCTGACTGCCAGCTCAGAGCCTGGAGCCTGTTTCAGAGTCTGTATCTCCCTCTCTCTCTGACCCTTCCCTGCTCATGCTGTCTCTCTCTCTCCTAAAAATAAATGTTCTTTAAAAAAAAAAAAAAGTAAACATTAAAAATTTTAAAAATCCCACTTAGAGCCCTCCCTCAGGCCTTCTCTGGCCCTACTGCTCGGAGCGTGCGTGGGCACATATGTGGGCACAGGGAGCGCACGTCTGAGCACACTGCTCAGGGCGCTGACACGGATGCCTCGCGGCAAGATTTTCCCGAGGCGGGAAACGTGTGGGGATTTATTCTGGCGCGAGCTCCTTCCTTCATCAAGGACCAGCGTTTGCAATAGCCCTGCTTTCGACCGCTGCCCTCCTTTATGTTCTTCCTAATGCTAGTCACCAATAATTTTTAGGACGTATTTCCTATCTTAGGGGCGCCTGGGTGGCTCAGTCGGTTGAGTGGCTGACTTCTGCTCAGGTCATGATCTCGTGGTTGGTGAGTTTGAGCCCTGCGTCGGGCTGGCTGCTGTCGGCACAGAGCCTGCTTTGGATCCTCTGTCTTGCTCTCTCTCTGACCCTCCCTTGCTCACGCTTTCTCTTTCTCACAAATAAATATAAAAAGGAAAATTTAAAACCTATTTCCTGTTTGACTCTTCTAAGATGTGAGCCCACAAAGAGAGGGATTTTGGCCTGCTCACCAGAGTAGCCCCAGTCAGGTCCAGCCGTGTAATCTGGGGAACCCAGGGCAAAATGAAAACACAGGCCCCCTGTTCACACATTATTAACAATTTCAGGTTGGCAGGAGCAGCGTGAAACCAAGATGGGGCCCCTAGTTGGCCCTGGTGACAACGACGTGCCTGAGCGCTCCGCAGAACCCTGTCCGTATGTGACGACGACTGTGCCGGGCACCTCCCACGTGCCGGCCACTGCCTCTTGGCTCAAGGAAACGGCATGGCTGTGGCACCTGACTCTTGCGGACCTGGCTCGGGTGATGGCACTTTCCCCTCCCACTCCTCAGTGTCGGCTTCTTGTCGAAATGGCAAGAACGTGAGGAGGGTCCTGGGACTAAGCCAAGGCACTTCTGTTGCATCTGGGGTGTTCACGCACGGGCTTTTAATCGAAGAGAGTGACCTCGGGAAATATGCCTAATCAGGGGCGCCTGGGGGGCTCAGTTGGCTGAGCATCCGACTTTGGCTCGGGTCATGATCTTGCTTTCGGGCGTTCAAGCCCAGCATCGACAGCTTGGAGGCTGAAGCTGGTTCAGTCTCTGTGTTTCCCTCTTGCTCTGCCCCTCCCCTGTTTGCACTCTGTCTCTCAAAAAACTAAAATAAGAAACGTTTTTAAAGAACTAAGCAAGCCCAGCCAGTGCGGGACTTGAGTGGGGTGCGCGGGGCTGTGGCTCCCTGGGGCCCGGCTGCTGCAGCAGGGGCCGTTGGCTCACGGGGCCCGTGTCTGCAGCTCACAAGGACCACACCGACCCTGAAGCCACGGAAGGAGGACCTGGTCTGCCTTCACTTTCCGTGAGCCACGCTGCCCGGAGCAGATGGCACACTGCAGGCGCCTGCAGCCCCCAGCCCCTGGGGAGCAGGGAGCTTCCCCAGGCCCCCCTCGCACTGCCCCTGCCTCCACCTCACCTGGACGTCGCCCTGGGCCTCGTGCAGGCAGTGGAGGGCAAGCTCCAGGTTGGTGCCCCCTCCCGGCATCACGCTGGAGCAGGCCACGTTGCAGAGCTCGGTCACTGTGTCCAGCAAGTGGTCCCAGCAGAGGGTGAGAGAGGAGAGACATACAGGGTCAGCAAGCACCAGGGCGGACACTTCCCTGATGCACAGAGAGGGGCCCCTTGAACGCAGACAGGGGAGGGGCGGGGCGAGGGAAGGGAGGGACGAGTGCTTGCTCTGAACAGCCCGGAATCGGAATCGGGTGAGAAGGGAGGTGGGCGCGGGAGACCGCGGCTCAAAGAGAAGTGATAGTGCGCCAAGCATCATCCGATGCTTCCTGGCCAAGGTGAGAACTGGGAGAAGTCCTAAGATGGGGTGGGGTGGGGGCAGGGTGCTTGGGGATGCGGCCGCCAAGTCTCAGCCACCTCTGTCCTGTGTTTCCGGGTTGGTCGTCACATCTCCCCACGGCTTCCAGACCAGAGGAGCTACATGGCCCTCCGTTCTAGCAAGCGACCTCTCCCGGAGCTCTGGGATCTCAGCCTGAAACCGGCTTCCTATGTTGATGTGTCTGAAACGAGGCCACGCACACAGACACACGAGACACACATGTGACCAAGATGGGAAATGCGACCGAGAAGTGCGGTGTGCCCTGCGGGAACCATCTGCCTCTGTCACATCTGTTGAGCATCCCATTATCCCCCACAGACACGTGCAGGCATCCCAGAAACCTCTTGAGGAGTACTTCCTTCCTTTCTCGGATGTCCCTTACTCCTATCTCTGGCTTCGGGTGTGTCTTCCTGTCTAGGATAGGGAGGTACGTGCTGACGCCTGACAGCCTTCCACGTCCAGGGCCAGGTTTATCTAGCCACGACCCAAGGACACTCCAGGCTCTTGCACTGGACCATCACCAACTCTACATGGAACCCCAGGGTCCTGGACATTCTGATCCCCGGCCCTAACTATGGTATGTCTGGACCAAAGGAATACCTGGGGGGCTTCCCACATCCACCCACAGAAAACACACCACCTCTCTTTTAGGGAGACTCTGGAGGTAGACATGGTCCCCTATGATGTTTTTCCTTGGGAGAAATGGACGCCAGCTCACAAGGAGGGTAAAAGTGCCCCCACTTTGGGAAGAACCCAACTCTGTTCCAACTCACGGTTCAATGCTGATCTTGGTGTCATCCTTTACCATGCAGATGCCAAAAGAGCCTTCCACTTGATCTAGAAAACACACAACAGAAAGCCTCAAGAAGACGGTCCGTAAGTGATCTGGGGGCGCAGGCTCCTTAAGGTTGTATGGTAAGGAAGTTTCTCAAGAAATTAAAAACAGAACTACCATATGATCCAGCAATCCCACTTCTGGGTATTTATCCAAAAGAGCTGAAATCAGTATCTCAAAGGAACATCTGCACTCCAATGTGTGCTCAATGCTATTCACAGCAGTGGACACAATCTAATGTCCATTGACAGAGGAGTGGAAAAGGAAAATGTGGTATTTACATACGATGGAATACTATTGAACTTTTTTGTTTTTTGAAGGAACTTTCAATATACAACAACATGGATGAACCTTGTGGACATTATGCCAAGTTAAACAAGGCACAAAGAAGGAAATACTGCATGAATCTGCTAACAGAAGTATCTATAAGAGTCAATTTCACATAGTTAGAGTGGCATGGTAGTTGCCAGGGGCTGGGAGTGGTGGGAAGTGGGTATTTACTGCTCAATGAGCAGAAAGTATCAGTTAAGCAAGATGAATAAGCTCTAGAGGTTTATGTTACTCTTATGTTAACTATTCTTGTCATAATAAAACACAATTTTTTTTTAAAGTAGGCTTCACATCTGGCATGGAGCCCAATGTGGGGCCCAAACTCATGACCCCAAGTTCAAGACCTAAGCTGAGACCAAGTGTCAGATGCTTAACTGATTGAGCCACCGGGCACCCCCACAATAAAAGAGAACTTCAAAAAAGATTGTAGGAAGGGGGATTGGACTTGTAAAAAGCAGAGTAAGGAACTCAGCAGAACAACAAATGAACTGATGAAAATCATTTTGAAAAACAGTAAGTTAAAGTCTCTGGAAGTGGTCCTTAAGGCATCCAGCATCTTAGGAATTACTCGTTCAAAAAAATGACTAAATATTGGTAGGAAGAGCAACAGTCTGTGGTACCTGCCCACCCCTTACACGCCCCGCCCCCCAGGTCTGTGTAACAAACACTCTGCCCAGCATGCCCTACTCAGAGCGGGTGCACCCAAGGAGGCAGGCTCCCTCTCCCCACAGCTCCCATCCTGAAATAACTAAAGGAGGGTGTGATGAAGATTTCTTATCAAAGGCACAATACGATGAAGAGACAGAAGCTATAAAAGAGAACCAAATAGAAATTCTGGGTTTAGGGGCGCCTGGGTGGCTCAGTTGGTTAAGCATCTGACTTTGGCTCAGGTCATGATCTCACAGTTTGTGGGTTCAAGCCCCACATCGGTCTCTGTGCTGACAGCTAGCTCAGAGCCTGGAGCCTGTCTTCAGACTCTGTATTTCCCTCTCTCTGACCTTCCCCTGCTCACACTGTCTCTCTCTCTCAAAAGTAAATAAAAAAAAACCTTAAAAAAAAGGAAATTCTGGGGTTAAAAAAGTATAATAGGGGCAACTGGGTGTCCCAGTCAGTTGAGCGTCTGACTTTGGCTCTGGTCATGATCTCTCACAGTTCATTAGTTTGAGCCCTACATCCGGCTCACTGCTGTCAGCCCTTCAGCGCAGAGCCCACTTCAGACCCTCTGTCCCCCTCTCTGTCCTTCCTGCACTTACGTTTTCCCCCCAAAATAAAACAGTACAATAACCAAAATGAAGCTGGCAGAAGAAATGATCAGCAAACTCAGAGATCAATGGAGGGGCACCTGGGTGGCTCAGTCAGTTAAGCATCCGACTTTGGCTCAGGTCATGATCTCACGGTTTGCAAGAGTCAGGCTCTGTGCTGGCAGCTCGGAGACTGGAGCCTGGTTCAGATTCTGTGTCTCCCTCTCTCTTTCTGTCCCTCTCCTCCCCCACTCATGATCTGTTTCAAAAATAAACATTAAAAAAAAATCAATGGAAATCAATGGAAAATCAATGTAATCTGAAGAACAGAGAGAAAAAAAGAATGGAGGAAAATGTAGTGAGCCTCAGAGAAATGTGGGACAGAGAAATGTGGGACATCACAAAATGCAGCAAAATACTTATACAGAGAGTAAATGAGAAAAAGAGGAGGAAGGAACAGAAAAACATGTAAAGTATCATGGCTTTGATACACCGGCTGAAAACTTCCCATATCTGGAGATAAGAAAAGAAAAACAGAAAAGGAAAGGGAAAAGAAAAAAAAATATAGGAAACTCTATAAACTCCAAATAGAACAAACACAAAGAGATCTACATCTAGACCCATCATAGGCAAAATGTTGAAAACAAGAGATAAAGATGTTGAGAGTAGAAAGAGAAAACCAGCGTGTTCCATGCAAGAGCACCCCAGTAAGATTCACAGCAGACTTCTCATCAGAAACAGTGGAGGTCTGAAAGCAATGGGATAACTTATCCAAAATTCTCAGAGTACAAAACTGTCAACCAAGAATCACATCCAGCAAGCTACCTTTCAAACATAAAGGTGAAACAAGGTGATTCTCAGATAAATAAAAACTGAGAAGACTGTAGCGAGATCTGTCTTACGAGAAACAGTAAACGTGGAAAAGCATTCAGTCATCAAAAGGAATGGGATACTGATGCAAACTGCAACAGAAGCGAATCCAGAAAACATTGTGCTGAGTGAAAGGAGACGGTCACAAAAGACCATATACTATAGGATTCCACATATGTGGAATGTCCAGATTAACCAAATCTATAGAGAAAGAGTATACTAGCGGTTACCTTGGGCCGGGGGTGGGAGGTGAGGGGTGGGGGAGTGGCTGCTAATGAGCATGGGGCTTCTTCTGTGGGTGACAATGCCTGAAAATTGATGGTAGTAATGGCTGCAGCTCTGAATGTAATTAAACCCACTGCATCACATGTTTTAAAGGAATAAATTGTATGTAAATTATATCTCCATAATGATAATAAACACCAAAGAAAGTTCTTCAGACTGAAAGCAAATGACACCAGATAGTAATGTCAATCAAAACAAAACAAAACAAAAAACAAAGGGTGCTGGTAAAGGTAATTAGATGGGTGATTATAAAAGTAAAATCACATATTTCTTCTCTTAATTGACTTAAAAAGCAATTGCATAAAACAGTATGTATTGTGGGCCTATAATATACAAAAATACACTGTGACAATAATAGCACAAAGGAGTTGCATTAGAGAAAAGAAATAATACCCCAGATGGTAACCTGAATCCACAGGAATAAATGGAAGTTACTTGTAATGGTAACTAAGAAGGTTGATATAACAAACTCTATAAATAATGCCTGTTTTCCTCTATTATCTTTTTTCACATAACATAAAATTATATAAAGTGATAATTATGAAAATGTATTTCTCGGTTTCTTTTTTTAAATGTTTATTTATTTTGAGGCAGAGCATGTGAGTATGAGTGAGAGAGGGGCATAGAGAGGGAGAGAGAGAACCCTAAGCAGGCTCTGTGCTACCAGCACAGAGCCCAGTGTGGGGCCTGACCTCATGAACTATGAGATCATGGCCTGAGCTGAAACCAAATCAGATGCTTAACCATCTAAACCACCCAGACGCCCCTATTTCTGGGTTTCTAATAGAGAGATAGATGTTACCCACATGTATATATATGTGTGTGTGTGTATATATATATACATATATATATATACACACACACACATATATATACACATACACATACATATACATATGTATACACACACATAAATAATAATAGCAAAAGGGTTAAAAGGAATTCAACTATATAGCACTATTTTTATATTTTATTGTTAAGCTGTAATACAACTAAACATACTCTGATAAATTAAGATGTATGTTTTTAATCCTACAACAATTCCTAAGAAATGACTCGGAAAAGTGAAAAATTAAAGGAATTGACAGGTTATACAAGAAAATATTCACTTAGTACCAAAGAAAGCAAATAAGGAACAGAAAGAGAAAATAACATGAGAGAAATAGAAAATAAAAAGCAAAATGGCAGATGTAAATCCAACCATATCAATATAACATTAAATGAGAATGCTTAAACAAACAAAACAAAAGGTAGTTTGTCAGACTGGATTAAAAAAAATACATGATGCAACCAAAGCTGTCTGTAGGAGACACGCTTTATTTTCAAAGACACAAACAGGTCGAAAGTAAAAGAACAGAAAGAAATATACCAAGCAAACAACAACCATAAAAGAGGTGGAATGGCTATACTAATGTGAGGCAAATTAGACTTTAAAACAAAAAATATTACTAAAGATAATGATAGAATTATCACAGTGATGATAAAGAATACCATAATAAAAGTTCAAGCCATCAGGAAAATATGGCAACTGTATAAACATGAATGCACCTAAAAACAGAGTCCATAAATACATAAAGCAACAATTGACAGAATTGAAGGATAAAATAGACAATTAAAAAATAAAACTTGGAGGGGCGCCTGGGTGGCTTAGTCGGTTAAGCGTCCGACTTTCGCTTAGGTCATGATCTCGCGGTTCGTGGGTTCGAGCCCCGCGTCGGGCTCTGTGCTGACTGCCAGCTCAGAGCCTGGAGCCTGTTTCAGAATCTGTATCTCCCTCTCTCTCTGACCCTCCCCTGCTCATGCTGTCTCTCTCTCTCTCTCCTAGAAATAAATAAAACATTAAAAAATTAAAAAAAAAATACTTGGAGATTTCAATACTTTCAATAGTGGATAGGACAACCAGGCAGAAGATCAATAGGAAGTAGAATACTTGGAGTAACTAGACATTGCAGACATCTACAGTGCATTCCACCATCAAGAGAATACACACTTCTCAAGTACACATGGAACATTTTCCAGGGCAGAACATATTCTAGCCCATAAAAATGCTTCAAAAATCTTAAAAGCACTGAACTAATACAAAATATGTTCTCTGACCACAATAGGATTAAATTAAAAATCAGTTTTAAAAAGGCAATTTGGAAAATTCACACATCTGTGGAAATTAAACAGCCAGCAGTCCTTAACAGTGTATCAAAAAAAATTAAAAGAGAAACTAGGAAGTATTTTTGAGCTAAATGAAAATCAGAATACAACATACTAAAACTTATGAAATGTACCTAAAGCAGTGCTCTGAGAGAAGTTTATAGCTGTAAATGTCTGTTTTAAATAAGAAGAAAAATCTCAAACCACTTATGGTCAATTGGTTTTCCACAGGCCAAGCTGACTGAACAGGAAAAGAACACTCTTTTCAACAAATGGTGCTGGAACAAATGATATCCACATGCAAAAGAATGAGTTTCTTACACAATATATAAAAGTTAACTTAAAATGGGTGAGACATAAACTTAAGACTTAAAATGACAAAACTCACAAGAAAACACAGAAGTAAATCTTTGTGCCCTTTAGTCAGGCAAAACCTGACTAAAGAAATGCCTGGAGTAGGAGAGGAGTAGGTTGCTCAGGGCGGGAGGAGGCGGGGGAGGCGGGGGCGGCGGGGGCTACGGGGTGTGTGGGTGTGTGTGTGTGTGTGTGTGTGTGTGTGTGTGTGACTGCAAGGGTACGGTGCTTCTTCGGAGGGTTGACAAAAATGCTCTAAAATTAGATTGTGTGACCAGCACACAACCCTGAAAATAAACGAAAAAATACCGTGTCCTCTAAATGGTGATTCGTACGGCACTTGAATTGTATCTGAACAAAACTGTCAAAAATTACTCAAAGGCCAGGCAGAAGGGCTGTCGGGCTAAACGGTCCGAAGCACCTAGAAGGCTGCTGGTTCCGGATGGCCCCGGGACGCCTCCGGACAGCAGTGGGGCTCACAGACGAGACACAGCCACAGGCTGGAGAGACTCCGGGCCCTAGGCGACGAGAGGGAGCGGGCCTGGCCGGCCGCGCTGAGCGGAGGGCACGGTGCCGGGCCTCACTCACCAATCACGCCGCCGATGAGCCTGTCGGGCCCGGAGCGAGCGGAGGTGGAGCAGAGCGTGTTGAAGTACAGCCCAGAGCCCTCGCGGATGGGGCTGAGCATGGGCGGCGGCGTGTAGGGCGAGCACTGGAACAGCCCCTTCAGGAGCCGGTCCACCAGGAACACGGGAGACCGCAGGCAGCTCTGGTGACAGCCTCCCTGGCCCGGCTCCCCGACGGGAGAGGGCGGAGGGGGCCCGAACGGCGCCTTAGGCGGGGGACGCTTCTTCCGCTTCCTATGCTGGCTGCCCTCCTTGCTGTCTCTGTCTTCCCCGTCTCTGTCCTGTCCCTGGGGAAGAAGAGAGTTCACGGTCGCCGGGGTCTCTGGAGACGGTTTTCGGGAGAGCAGAGAGCCAGGCGGGAACACAGACTCCGGTGACGGAGGGAAACAGCCGGTGACCCGGCATGTCCGCGCCCGGAGCCCTCAGAAAAGGCGGCTGAGCGGGGCCTGCATGCCTGAGCCAAGGCCCCAGGCCTTCACCAAGCCTAGTGACATTCGAGGCTGGAGCCCTCGGTCCCACGCGCCCTCAAGGAGGGGCCCAGGCTCAGAGGGCTCTGGGAACGGGGAGGCCAGCCCCAGCGGTCACCAGGCACGGCGCTTACAGGCGGGGGCGGAGACGCAGTGCGGCAGCATGACAAAATGGCAAAATGGCAAGGGCAACAGCTCCCGTGAGGCGAGCAGTGGCATCTGAGGACCCCGAGCCCGGCAGGGGCTCCCCAGTGGGGCCTCCAGCACGGGCTGCAGAGACGGGTCGCCTGAGCCTGCCACGCTCTCTCCCGCCTCCCCTGCCAGTCTCACGCCGCCCCCTCCTCCGGGTCTCAGCTCCAGCACCCCCTGACCTCCTCAGGCCAAGGCGCCCCCCCGCTCCCCGCCCCCCAAGCCCAGCCCACTGTGGGTCGTCACTGCCTGGGGACAGGTCTGCTGCCTTCGCAGGCCGGGGGCCCAGGCTGTCCCGGCGCAGGCCGGCCCGGGGGACACGCGGCGGAGGTGCACGGCTGACCGGCTCCCAAGCCGCGCCCCCCCCCCCCCCCCCCCCCCCCCCCCCCCCCCCCCCCACTCAGGCTTTCCTTGACGCTTGGTTCGGGCTCTCCGCGCGGCCCCTGCCCGCAGGGAGGGGAAGCGGCAGGAAGGAAGCCCACCGACCGGCACCCACCTTGGCCTTGCTGCCGGCAGGCCGGTTCACTGGGGCCGCGGGCAGAGACACAGGGGTCATCAAAGGGGCTGCGGCGGGGTGGTCCAGGGACCTCTTAGCTCCTGGGGGACTCTGCCCGTCGCCCTCCGGCCTTGGCGCCTGTCTCGGTGGCTTGCAGAAGTCCGTGCCAAACCCCTGGATGCAGGGCACAGAGGGCTCTTCAAGGCAGACGCCGGCACGAGTGGAAGAGCTGCTGCAGCCGGAGACTCCGGCCCGGCGCCGCCCCCCCCCAACCGACCTTCCCCCAGGGGGGCGTCTCCATCCTGGGAGAGACAACGTCCGCCGCCCGCGAGCCCGCCAGAAACCCCGGAGACACAGGCCCCAGCGCGCGCGCCCTGCACCTGTGCCTCCTGCTGCCCTCGAGGGGACGGCCACTGGTCGCTGTGGAAACACATGTGGCTGCCCAGCCCCTTCTCCGTATAAAACATCTGGCTGCAATTCTTGCAGACGTAGGTGCTCCCTAGCTCTGGCCAGTCTGCGGGGCCCCCATTTTGCTGGTTACTGTGGGGAACACAGAGGAGGGAAGGACGGGAGAATGGGACTCTGTCCTGGTCATGAATTCTTCTTCTGCTTTTTCTTTTTTCTTTGGGGTTTTAAAGTCTGGTCCACTGACAAGTCTCGATGAACCCTAGGAAATGGAGTGAGGACACCACGGTGCCTCGCGGCCGGGTGTGAACCCCTTCAGGACTGACGCTTCCAGAACGTGGTGGCCCAGGGCCAGCACGGAAGAGCCACCGGAGGACTCTGAGGGGCTGAGCGCCCCCAGGCCCGGCAGGGGAGTGGCTTCTGAACTTACCATCCACCTGCCGCGTTCTCCTCCTTCACCGGATGGGGTAGCCGGTAGATATTCCCACCCTGAAGATGAAAACACAGATCAGAGCCAGCATCTCAGGAAGGAGGCGTGCGAGAGCGACTCTTAGAAGAAAGCGTACGTGGGGGGCGCCTAACTGGCACTGTCAGTGGAGCGAGTGGCTCTTGATCTTGGGGTTGTGGGTTCGAGCCCCATGCAGGGTGTAGAGATGACTTAACAATAAAATCTTTTTTTTTTTTAAAGGAAAGCACAGACATAATTCTTTGAGACCACAGAGGAGGCACAGGTGTCTTGGAAGACACCAAAACGAAAGCCAGGACCGATGAATTAGACTTCAGGAAAACTCAGAACGGCCGTGCTTCAAGGACACCATCAAGAGAGTGGGAACCACCAGCCCCAGAATGGGAGAGAAATCACCACAAGGCACGCACCTGACAAGAGACTCGTACTCATCACACGCAAACTCCTGTATAGCGCGATAACAAAAAGGCAAATGACACAATTTGGAAACGGACAAAGGATCTGAAAGACACTCAACCAGAGAGGATCTACCAATGGCCAAGAAGCGCGTGAAAAGGTGCTCAGCACCCTCGGCCACCAGGGCCATGCACACCACAGCATGATGAGAGGCCACCTCACACCCGCTAGCACGGCTACGATTAAAAACCAAAAAAGCAAGAGGGGTCCCTGGGTGGCTTAGTCGGTTAAGCATCCGACTTTCGCTTAGGTCATGATCTCACAGTTCGTGGGTTCGAGCCCCACGTCGGGCTCTGTGCTGACTGCCAGCCCAGAGCCTGGAGCCTGTTTCAAAGTCTGTGACTCCCTCTCTCTCTGACCCTCCCCTGCTCACACTGTCTCTCTCTCTCTCTCTCCTAGAAATAAATAATTAAAAAAAAAAACCCAAAAAAGCAAGAAAACAGACAGCGAAGTGTTGGTGAGGACACGGAGAAGCCGCAGGTGGGGATGCTGAATGGCGCGGCTGCTTGGGAAAAGTCCACAGCTCCTCAGATGGGTAAACACAGAGCTACCATCCGACCCAGAAAGTCCCCGCCTAGGTGCCCCCAAGGGTAAGGAAAGCCTGTGCTCACCCGGAAACGCGCACGCAGGGGCTCACAGCAGCACTACTGACAATGGCCAAGAAGCGGAAACAAGCCAAAAGCCCGTCAGCTGCCGCAGCGAGAAACCAGATGTGACACGCCCGTATGGCAGAGTGTCACTCAGTCCTACAAGGGAACGCGGATGCGCCCCAGCACCTAAGAGGCTTGCAAACATCGTATTGAGCATAAGAAGCCAGACTCGGAAAGCCACGTAGTGTATGAAGTGTCCAGAGTGGGCAAGTCCAGAGACAGAGGATAGATTCATGGCCGCCAGGGGCCGGGAGGGACGGAGACTGGGAATGACAACTAAGGGGGGAGGGTTTGGGGTTGTGAAAGTGTCCCGGTAAAGAGCAGTAACGGATGCATAACCTGGAAAATATCCTGAAAACTACCGGAAGGTACGCTTTAAAATGGTGAAGCAGGGGTGCCTGGGTGGCTCAGTCTGTTGAGCGTCTGTCTCTTGATTTCGGCTCAGGTCACAGTCTCATGGGTTCATGAGTTCGAGCCCGGCATCGGGCTTTACACTGATGGTGCAGACCCTGCATGGGATTCTCTCTCTCTCCCTCTCTCTCTGCTGCTCCGCTTGAGGCCCAGACCTGGCGGGGCTCAGTGATGCTGTGCGGGTGTGGCCGGCATCGGGACTGTGACTCCCACCAGGAAAGACGCAGCATTTCTCGAAGAAATACTGATGGGGGCATGGGGGAGGGGGACTCTACCTTTACATCCTCTGAACGATTTAAGGAGACAAATGCAAAAAGCAGTGAAAAAAGGCAGAAAGAGAGCCAGCAGACCGAGCCTAGGGAAGAACGTGTCTCTGACTGAAGCGGGGCTGACAGAGGACCCACAATCTCCCCGAACCTTCATCCCCGTCTCTGTGCACTGCGGCCGAGGCCTGCCTGAGACTAAACACGATGCTCGGCCAGCCCCCAGACGCAGAAACAAGGGACGAAGCAGAAGGTCGGCCACAGGGCGCTCGGGCCCCGGGAGGGAGGGCCCAGGTACCTGGATTCTGTTGAAAATCGTCAGCTTGGACTTCGCGTCCTGGGGGGAGTCTGCCGGAGGCCCGGCTGACGAGAAGGAGGCCATGGCTACCTGGCTCGGGGAGGCCGCACAGCACATATCCATTTTCACCTTCTCCTTCCGGAAGCCAGAGAAGCGCTGGGACCTGGGGTTGCCGGAGAAGAGCCTGTAGCCTCCGCCCCGGGCGCAGGCCTGGCTCTTCTCACCTTTCGCGGCCCCCAGAGCTGCGCCATCCTCCGCCTGGGCCTGCTTCCCCGGGAGCGGGGCTCCGAGGGGCTCATCCCCACCTGACGGGGGCTGACGGGGGGCCCCTGGAGAGAAGATGTCCCCCAGGTCCAAGGTCCCTTTAGTGGATCTCAGCTTCTTGGGCAGAGACGTGATGTCTGGGTCCCCGGGAGGGTCCAGGGAGGAGGCCGCCAGGGACGGCGGAGCAGGGGTCATTTTCGGTCGGCCCTTTGTGTCCCGCCGGGAGCCGCCCGGGGAGGCATCTCTGGGGAAGGCGGGCGTGGCTTTCCTCCTGCGGGCCGGGGACCCCTCCGGCTCTGGGTTTCCGGGGCCAGCGCGGAGACAGTCAACAGGGGCAGCCGCCGGCAGCGGGGGCGGCTGCGGCCGGGGCTTCGGGGCGGTTTGCTTGCCCTCGGGCCCGGGGAGCTGCGAGAAGATCCGCTGGGACTTGGCGACCATCTGGAACACCTGCATCTGCTCGTGGCTCACCAGGGGCTCCTGGGACTTGAGGAAGAGCTGCCGGAAAAGCGGCGTGGCGTCTGCCGGGAGGCCGCCGGGCCTGTGGGCGTCCTGGAGGCCGGGCGCCCCGGGGCTCTGCCACGAGAAGGGCTCGCAGTCGAGCTTGCTCTTCTTGGAACCCCAGGCGTCGTCGTCCCCGCCAGCGTGTCTGGGGTCGCCCGAGGCCTCCCCGGGCGCCTTCAGGAGCGCCGCAGGGTAGGGCGACGTGTCCTCCAGACCGGTGCCCGCTCCGGGCAAGGGCTCCCCCGCAGGAGACGTGCCGCTGGGCCTGGGGCCGGCCTCGCAGCCCTCCCGGGACAGCGCCGGAGGCGGCTTGTGGACAACGAACACGCTGTTCCCTTTGCTCGCGGGACAGCCGGACAGGTTCCGGAGCCACTGGAAGTTGTGGCTGGACGGCTGGCAGCCGCCGGGGACTGTCTGGCCTCGGAACAGAGGCAGGCGGGCAGGCAGCGGGCCGCCCTCGGGCCAGCCCTCCAGGGCGGCCTGGTGCTGGAGCACAGGCGGCTCGGGCTCGGCCGGCTCGGTGCCCCCGTTCTCCACGGCTCTCGGGTGGACGGCCGTGAACACGGCGGCGGAGGGCTCCTTCCGTAGGGGACACAGCTCCTCAGGGACGTCGGGAGCCCCCGGCATGCCCACGGGCGCGCAGGAGGAGGAGGGCCCAGCCGCACTCCTGTCCTCCCCGCCGTCCAGAGGCCCCGCGGCGGCCGGGCCAGGGGAGGGGGCTCTGCGGTGGACGATGCTGCTCACGATGCAGCGCAGGAGGTCCCGGTTGGGCAAGAGGGGGCCAGGGGACCGGGCCTCCGGGGGCGCAGGGGCACGCGGGCCCCCGGGGGCCGGCCGGCCGGCGGCCTCGTGGGCGTGAGGGGAGTCCCCGCAGGCTTCCTCCTCCGGGGGGGCCTCCTTGAGGATGCACAGGCCGTGCTGGACCTCGTAGTGGCGCCGCAGTGAGCGGTAGTCACAGTAGCTCTTGCTGCAGCCCTGCTCGATGCACACGAACGGCTTGGTCTTCTGGTGCGTGAGCATGTGCCCCGTCCTGGAGTCACATGGGAGGGGCGGGTCAGCCGGCGCCCTTCACCTCGGGAGCCCAGTGTGGCCCGGGGGGCAGGGCATGGGGAACTGCACTCAGCGCTCAGGAGGGAAGCCCCAGGCGGCCACCCCTCGGGGCAAAGCCACGAGAGAGGTGCTCCCCTCCCTCACCTATAAGCAAACCCCTTCTCTGAGACCAAAAAAAAAAAAAAAAGAAGAAGAAGAAGAAGAAAGAAAATCAATGACAGCCAGACCGGAGTTGCCGCAAAGTGAGTGCCCGAGGGACAGCGGTCCCCCAGAGTGGCTCCTGGAGGGGATGGGCTCAGCTCACAAGGAGGTTTTGAAAAAAAAAAAAAAAAACAACGCTATTTGCTCCTTGGGGGCTCAGAGCAGCCAATGTAAAAGCCGCACCACAGATCGACACCTTCCGTGTTTCTCAAAGCTGTCTGCCCACAGAAGCACATGCTCAGCGGCCCCTCTGAGCACCCGAGGGCCGAGGGACGCACTTGAGATGCTGAGCTGGGGGTGACCCTTCCCTAGCCTTCCCAGGACATTCCTCTAGGGAGATGGCTATCTGGAGCCCACCCCCAGCAAAAAAAAAAAAAAAAAAAAAAAAAAAAACACTACAAGTTACAGATGCCCCATCAGTAAAAACTTTCTAGAAAGCAGCCCGATGTGCCCCCTGTCCTTTCCACAGTTATAAACGAAAACAAGTATGTGCTGCATTTATAGTGTGCTTCTATCTGCGTTAACATATCGTGAGCATAAAGAAGCGGGTGAGTTCTCCTCCAGGCTCTCACAGCCCGACCCTGGACAGTCTACCAACGTGGCGCATGGGGTACCTCCGGTCAAGGACATGGCCCCTCTCCAGGGCTGACCCTTGGCCTCCCTCCGAGGCAAGCTGCAGAGAAGGAGTCAGGAGACCCAATCTCTAGCCCCCACCATAGGTGCGGAGCATCAGGACGCAAGGGCCCGTCGTCTCCCACCGGCCAGACTCTGCGTTTGAAAAAAAAAGTCTGGCTTCCCTGCCTCACTGGCAAGAAAAGCCCGTCCTTTCCAAGAACAAAGGGAATTCCGGCTCCTGAGGCTTATAGGGGCTGTATTTGTTTATTTTCAATCAAGAGTTGTTTGTTTTTTTTTTAAGGTGTTAAAAAAAGAAACGCATTAATGCTCTCCTGCGAAATTCTAGAAACAGGCACTTCGGAGTCTCTTGTGCCCCCACCATTCTAATGCACGTTCCTCATGAGACACGACCTGCTCTCCTGGGACACCCGGGAGCCTCCCCACACTTCTCCGTAAGTGAGCCCAATTCCCTGTGTGACACAATCGCCCCGGGAGTGAGCCGCGAGGGGTGCGGAAACCACCAGGGTCCTGGGAGCAAACCACCGTGTCCTCACTGGTGTGGCTCTGGGGGCTGGGAGGGGCCACCTGTGCTGGGCTGACGGCTATCTGGGGAGCAGGAGGGGGACCCCACGGGCCTGGCTCCCCGGGAAGGTGTGGAGATGCCCCGCCCCCGCCCCGCCCCCACATACAGGTGGTCCTGGCGCTTGAAGGCCTTGCCGCAGATCTTGCAGATGTGTTTCCTCTCCTGGCTGTGCGTCAGGTAGTGCTTGCTGAGGGAGCTGGCGCTGCTGAACACCTTCCCACACAGGCTGCAGTCGAGGAGCGGGTTCTGAGGGGATGCGTGCTGCCGCCTGCCCTTCCGAGCACTCCCCGACGTGGCCCTGCCACCTTCGTCTGCCTCCTTCGGCACCTTGAGGGCGCCCAGCCCCAGGTCTAAATGGAGGGAGAGAGCACAGGTCATAGACATCCGGGGACATCAAAGAGCAGGCGACATCAGTGCTCGGCCAGTCTCGGGGCCGCGGTGGACGTGGACGTGGGCAGAGGGGCCAGAACCGCGCCCTCCAACTCCAGCGGCTTTGTGCACCAAGAAAATGACCAGGGAGGGAAGGGACCCTGGCCGGGCCACCCCTGCAGGATGGCACTCAGTCCTGGTGCAGCACTCGGAGGGGCGGCGGTCGGAAGCACTTCTAGGACAAGGTGACCAATGTGGGCCGGGCTTTACGTCTAGACCATCCACGGCACCCTCAGAGGAACATTCCAGAAAACCATAACCCGAAAACTTAGAAAACTATAAATCCTTTTTTCCAGCCAATTCCGCTTTGGGGATTTTAGAGAAATAAATACAGGGGCGCCTGGGTGGGTCAGTTGTTAGGCACCTGACTTCAGCTCAGGTCATGAACTCATGGTTCATGAGTTCAGGCCTGCTTCCGCAAGGGTCTTGCTTTGGGTGAGCCCCACTTCTCTCTCTCTCTTCCTCTGCCGCTCCTGGGGTTCTCTCCTTCTCTCTGTCCCTCGCTCACTGGTGCCCTCCCTTTCCCTCTCTCTCTCTCTAAAAAAAAAAAAGGGGGGAGAAAGAAAGAAGTCTAGATTTGTACAAAAGGGTAGCCACAAAGCAGTCAAGGGCAGCACCACCTTTCCTGTGAGAAACAACCTAGTATCTGATAAAATGGCACCCAAGTGATTGCGTTACGGTGTAGAGGGTCTAGGACACAGCCCTTCAGGTAAAACTGTAGAAAAATATCTGATGACATGACTACTCAGTGTGAAAACATCAGCCTGTTACAAAACAGAAAAAGACCAAGACCAATACGTGTGAAGAGAAAGCCGGCAGAGAGAATGGTAGGCCACCAGCCACTTTGACTTTCCTCTTCTCGGGCCCTGAATGTGTTTGGGTGTTTTCTGTACCCCCGGGTCAAAGGGTAACAGGTACGTTCACAGCTCCACAGCTCGTTCACCCAAGGAGCCAAAGGGATGGCAGTGCTCACGGGGAGAGGGGCGGGTCGTCAAGTCCCCCCCCAACCTGGGCCAGCGTGTGGGGAGGGAACTCACTGCTTCTGTCTCGTTCCAACGGACAGAGACAGGTGTGGTGACTAAAGAGAAGCTGATTTCAGGTCCTGGGACACGCAGGGCCACAGCCCCAAGGACTCTGCAGGGTCCCCGGCTCTGGGAACCCCCGCTGGCGCTCGGGGACACTCCACCGCCGTCTGTGGTGGAAGACTTTCCTGCTGTTTGGACTGGGCTTCAAGATGCCTCAGACTGCCTCGGGACATGGCAGTTTAGGAATCGCCACCTCCCTGGGGTGTGGCAGAGCAGGGACCCCAGGCATCCAACAGCCCAGGGCAGCAGGCATGCACCAGGGACCCGGATGGCTAACTGTGGCCCAGGCGCAGCGTGAAACGCGGAAGGAGGGAGTCTGGAATGGCGTCCCCCAGCTCTGTCCCCGCCAGGGGCCGTCTGTCCCCCCTTGACGCGCCTGGTCTCCTCTTCCTGCTCACATAAGAAGTTACTGCGACAGGCGGTCGAATGATCCCAACAGGGTTAAGTGTGGGGTTAAGAGGATCCCCGGCGGGGAAGTCCTCTGCCTTGCTAAGTTATTTTAAAAATGCTCAGTAAGGGGCTCCTGGGTGGCTCAGTCAGTTGAGTTTCCAACTCCTGATTTCGCTCAGGTCATGATCTCACAGTTCGTGGGTTCGAGCCCCGCGTCAGACTCTGAGCTGACAGCGCGGAGCCTACTTGGGATTCTGTCTCTCTCCCTCTCTCTCTGCCCCAGCCCACTCACTCTCTCTCTCAAAATGCATAAATAAGCTTTGAAAAAAATTTAAATAAAATAAAATAAAAGCTCATCAAAGCCAACTATTAAACTAGCATCGTTTCAAAAAAGAATCTGCAAGAACACTGACACTCAGGCAGTGTCCCTGGGCCCCGGAAGCTGCCTCTCTCCTCAGAAGGCAGTGCTGCCAAGTGGGTTACAACACGGTGTATGTTCTCTGACGGGCAACCCTGCGCGGAGGCGGATGTTCAAAGAACGAATCCAAAAGGCAGCTCCACACGTGGAAAGTTGGTCGTGGAAACATGAACGGTTAACGAGCAAGAATGTGGTCAAACTTCCCAGTCAGAACAAGGGAGACCTTCACATAAGAAAGCAGATACACTGAGTGAAAGACCTCAAATAGCATCGCACGCTCAACACACCTGCGCCAAACCATGCTCTTCTGAATGACATCATTTGTGTCTTTAAAACCTTACGTGGGCTGCTGGGCTGCGGGATTTTTCCTGATGTTACTTTTCTCTGTTTCCTGTTTGCTTTAAGAACTGTGATTTATTTTTCTAGCTAAGATGATGAACACCAGCATATGCATTTATAGCGGCCTGAATTTCAGTCACAGAAGTATAAGGAGTTAGAATCTAACGTTCAGGGGACTCCTTTGTTTAACAGGTCAAAAGAAAAAATCAAGTTTAAGACAAATTAGGAAGAGCTGAACTAGATGGATGATTTGTAACATTTTTGCAGCAAGGGATACCCCCCCGGGATTACCCCCACCATCCCCGCCAAGGAAAATCTGGTGAAAGCGACAGTCCCTCTGTCCAGCAAAATGCACGCACGTTCGCACTACCTGTTTTTTAATGGTAGTTTCTGTGGCCGGGGTTGAGAACCTAACTACCGGACCCCCCAGCCAGGCGCGGCCCAGTGCCTGCAACACGACACACGTCCCACGATTCCGGCCACTGTTCTGGTGGTGACCAGCCTCACCCCTTGTCCGCTGCCTCCTGTGCGGAGAAGAGACGGGGCCTCCCAAGCTGTGCATCTTAGCAAGTCTCCGGGACATTCCTCCAGCGGCTGATCCTGACCGCCACGAACACCTGTTTTGCGGGGCCATCGCAGCGCGGCTTTCCGCAAACGTGGTGCGAGTATAAACGTCAAAGACCACTAGCTCCCAAGGCTCATCTGAGACACTTACCCAAGAACCCTTGAAGACTTAACAAAAATCAAATTGATCTTGCCGGGGACGCCTCGAGGCAAACCGAAAAAACAAAAGGAAACTACACCAAGGCTTGTAACTACTCCATCAGGAACCCCTTTTGCTCCTCTGCCGCTGAAGAGAGAGGCTTGGAACCGAATCAATGGGCTGCCTGAGATGAACTCGACCGATACTGATAAAAGAACAATGATCCGTCCCACACTTTACAGCCCATGCAAGGCTTTTGCATTCACTTCCACCCTTGCTTCTTACTGCTGTTACTCTTGGGGGAGGGGGGAGTGCAGAGTGGGCCTCACGATGCCCCCGCTGCGTCACAGATGAAGATACTGAGGCTGGAGAAGGTCAGACAACCAAGTGGCAGACGGACAGGATCCCAGGTCATCCTGGGAACGCAAAAAGCGCCTCCGAGATGTAGCGGGTGGGAAAGTCTCCCGTAAACCCAAATGTCTGCCCACACCTCATGCGAGATTAGGATACCCCCGGACAGCTGAGCCTCTCAACATTATTCCTCAGGATCAGTGGGTCAGTGTTCTCGTTTCCTTGACTAGGGAGTTGGGAACAATTCCCAAGTTAAAAAAAAAAAAAAGTGACGGTCCCCTGTTCACTGTTCACCCGTGGAAGTTTTCTTATCCAATCCGTGCAGAATTCCCCCCCCCCCCCCCGCCCCCAGCTGGCCGCAGGAACTTCCAAAGAGGCTTCCAGGCCCTCGGGCCCAGGGGGACGGCCTTACCTTGCAGAGACGCCTGTGGCTCTGGGTCTGCATACTCCTCCAGCAGCTTCACGGCGTCGCTGTCCTTGCCCGAGTACAGGGACAGGCTGTCCAGGTTGTCCTCCAGTGCCTCGCCAGGCATGTCGGGGGCTGGCAGGCCGGGGTCCAGGCCCAGGCCACTCAGGCCGGCGTAGAGCAGCTCTCGGGCACTGGGGCCCAGGTCCTGGTCGAGGCTGTCGCTGCAGTTGAGCCCCTGGCTCTCGGGAAACGAAGGGAGGTGCATCTCCGGGGGAAGGGCGCCCTCGTCCCCAAGGCTGTACTGGTCCATGGCTCGTCACGGCCAGGTCTGGGCCAACAGCTCCTCTCCCGATGAGCAAGGCCGCGTGAGTCGGGGAGGAGAAGCTCTCGGTGATGTCTGATCCCTGAAAACGAACGGGGAGGAATCAAAATGATGAGACGCCAATCCAGCATGGCAGATGGAGCAATGACCTTCTTTGGGTCTGTTCTCTGCCACTTAACCACCATGTGAACTTGGGCAAGTCACTTAAGCTCCACCAGCCCTAGTTTCCTCATCTGTAAACTGGGCATAAGAATATGCCCCTCACCTAGACACAGAACAAGCGCCTGATGACTCACTGATAACACACCTGGTGGGTCCGAGAGAAACCGGAGACCAGGCCTAGATTCCTAGGGTACTGGTTGCTACGGTTTCCCTTTTTTTAATGTTTTATTTATTTCTGAGAGAGAGAAAGAGACAGCATGAGCAGGGGAGGGTCAGAGAGAGAGGGAGACAGAGAATCTGAAACAGGCTCCAGGCTCTGAGCTGTCAGCACAGAGCCCGACACGGGGCTCAAACCCACAAACTGTGAGATCATGACCTGAGCCAAAGTCGGCCGCTTAACCAACTGAGCCACCCAGGCGCCCTTGGTTGCTACTGTTTTTAAACTTTCTGTGTTGAAATGGAACAGAACAGCCACGCCCACACCCCGTGCATTTCCCATGATGCATCTCCCTGTGTGTCTGTGTGTGTGTAGCCTGCCTACTGGGGGAACGTGCAAGTCAGATACAGGCCCAGGACCCTGTATGACAATTCTGAGACCAAGTGAGTTCTAGAATTCAGACTTCGGGGGACACCTCGGTGGCTCAGTCGGTTAAATGTCTGACTTTGGCTCAGGTCATGAGCTTGCTCGTGAGTTCAAGCCCTGCGTTGGACTCTGTGCTGACAGCTGGGAGCCCGGAGCCTGCTTCGGACTCTATGTCTCCCTCTCTCTCTGCCCCTCTCCCGCTTGCTCTCTGTCTCTGTCTCTCAAAATAAAATAAAGACAAAAAAAAAATTCAGAATTCAGACTTTGGGGTAAATCAACGCAGATGCCGTATTTAAGTAACCTTTGGTGGGTCTGGGGCAGCACCTGGTAACCAATTCATTATTTCTGCACTGACACCTCTGACCATTCAGAATAAATGGAATAAACACTGTGGGTTCAGGCTTGCCCATTAAATGAGGTCTGCTACACCGTGGTGTGGTCAGAGCTTTTTGGGTTTCTAAATTGCAAAGAGAGGAGTGTGGACCATAGAGGTTTATGCTCTGAGGCACAGTGAACTTCTCTGCCAGTTCTATAGTTTCTTGGACAGAGCTGCAATAAAGTGTCTACAGTGCTCCAAAGGGGACAGGAGCCATCTCTTTTTTTGTTTTTTCCTATTCTGATAATAAAAACAAGCTAATGGAGGGGCGCCTGGGTGGCTTAGTCGGTTAAGCGTCCGACTTTCGCTTGGGTCATGATCTCGCGGTTCGTGGGTTCGAGCCCCGCGTCGGGCTCTGTGCTGACTGCCAGCTCAGAGCCTGGAGCCTATTTCGGAGTCTGTCTCTCCCTCTCTCTCTGACCCTCTCCTGCTCACGCTGTCTCTCTCTGTCTCTCCTAGAAATAAATAAAACATTAAAAAAAAACAAGCTAATGGAATAAAATGGAAAGTATCGTTTAAAAGAAATACAAAACAATATTTAACAACATAAAATACTCAGCACTTTCTCCTTCTCAGGTATCCTGCTGAGAGCTTCCCCTGAATCCGTTCACTTACTTCTCTCCACAACCCAGAGGTCGGTGCTCTATTATTTCCATTTTACGAAGAAGCAAAGGGCCTCTGAGATGTTAAGTCACTTGTCCCAAGTCACATGCCTGACAAGGAGTTGAGCCACACCTTCAACCCAGGTACTCTGACTTTAGAGCTTGTGTTTTTACCCCACGACACAATAGTAACTTGTCGTAACTTAAGTCGCAGACTGCACCAAACCGATTCATCTAGAAAACACAAAAGGTGCTAGATCAGGACAGAATTCCCCACACGCGGAATCATCCACGCCCGTGGTCCATCGAACACACTGTTCTCATTACCCCGTCGGCCAGGGAAGCCCAAAGTCCAAAGGCCATGTTTTCGTATCTGCATCCTTTTCCAGTTAGTAAAGCCCCCCCCCCGCCCCCCCCGCCAGCCAATATTGAACTGGCTCTGGCAACAGATACATTCGATTCGACAAGTTCTGGCACCTTCTGTGTGCAGAGCTGCCTGCAAGTTCCTGGGGAGAGGGCTTGTGGTCCCCTGGAAGCCGCAAGCATTCCCAATTCTTTCTGAGAATTTTATAATTTTGTGTTTCCATTTGGAGAATAACCTGAAAGGAGAACACCAGTCTGTGCGGATTACTGGTTAACACGTTTGGTCTCAACGCCCCAGGATAGGTGTACAACGGGCGCGCGGATGCCAAAAAAGATTATTTTAATTGCCACAGGTGAGCAAGAAGAGGCTAGGGTAGGATTTCTCTCGTAATTATGCCTCTGGGGTCAGCTGAAAGCCAACACTGTGGTACAGACGGAGGCCTTGCGGCAGTTAGGGAGCTGTTAGGTTTCCTCGAAGTAACGCCCCTCCCACTAAACTGACATTTGTAATGTGAATTGCTTGCATTTGTTTACATTTAATTTGCAAACTGATTTTGGCTTTCTTTTTTTTTTAACTTTTAAAAATTTATGTAATGTTTTTATTTATATTTAAGAGAGAGGGAGACAGAGCACGAGCAGGGGAGGGGCAGAGAGACAGGGAGACACAGAATCCGAAAAAGGATCCAGGCTCTGAGCTGTCAGCACAGAGCCCGACTCAGGGCTCCAACTCACGAACCATGAGATCATGACCTGAGCCCAAGTCCGATGCCCCCCAGGCACCCCAGATTTTGGCTTTCTAGCAGCCCAAGAACCCGAGCATCGTAAGCTTTAGGAATATATGCCTTGCTTATGTGATCTTCAGCAGGTGCTTTGTTTCAATGGTTTCAAAAACAATTTAAGCCAGCACTAGGGATCCACAGCAATTTTCATGTTTGTCTTTTTAGAAAGGCGTGTCATTCCAGGACAGGTAGGCACAGGAGGGGACAGGGAATCTCCTTTGGGATGCTACAGCCTCTTGGGAAATTAATCTGCCACAGGTTCTCACCTGCAGAGACAGGGGGAAATAACATCTACTGTGGCCCTGCTTGGATGGAAAGGAGGGAACAATCTAAACACTCATTGGTTTTCCAAGAGCTTTTCTTTTAGCCTATACTTCATGTGAATTTTTTTTAAATGTTTTGTTTTATTTCTAGGAGAGAGAGAGAGAGAGAGACAGCGTGAGCAGGGGAGGGTCAGAGAGAGAGGGAGTCACAGACTGTGAAACAGGCTCCAGGCTCTGAGCTGGCAGTCAGCACAGAGCCCGACGCGGGGCTCGAACCCACGAACCGCAAGATCATGACCCAAGCGAAAGTCGGACGCTTAACCGACTAAGCCACCCAGGCGCCCCCATGTGAATATTTTTTACTGCTTATCAAGTTGAAATATCTGTCTGACTTCTTTTGGACACGGCATCGCTGTCCAAAAGAATTTTCTGTGCTGAGGGAAATGTTCTAAACCTGCGCTGTCCAAGGACAGCCCCTAGCCACCAGCGGCCAATGAGCGCCCGGAAAATACAGGATGTGCCACTGAGGCACGAAATTATTTTTACTTCCATCTCATTAAATTGAAATGCACAGTTACAAGTGTCTAGCAGCTACCAAGCACACTGGATGCTCACTGCAGGTCTAGGGATTTTTCACTGAAGTAAGGCTTTCTTCCAACTCCTATTTGAAAATCTCCAGGGGCGCCTGGGGGACTCAGTTGGTTGGGCGTCCAACTTCAGCTCAGGTCATGATCTCGCGGTTTGTGGGTTCAGGCCCTGCACAGGGCTCGGTGCTGACGGCTCAGAGCCTGGAACCTGCTTCAGATTCTGTGTCTCCCTCTCTCTCTGCCCCTCCCTTGCTGGCACTGTTTCTCTCTCTCAAAAATAAACACTAAAAATTTTTTAAATACATTACAATAAATAAATAAATATCTTGAGAAAAATAAATTTGAGGATCTGTCAACACCGAGTCAAGCAGCATTCGGCTGGAGCTGAGCAGCGCAGCTGTTTTAGGCCAAACAAGCACTCTCCAGTTTGCCACAGTCCCCACCGCTATCTAAATCGCTCACCCCCATCCCGGGGCGCCTGGGTGGCTCAGGTGGTTAAGCCCCTGACTCTTGACTTCAGCTCACGACATGATATCACAGTTTGTGGGTTCAAGCCGTGCGTCAGGCTCTGTGCTGACCATAGAGCCTGCTTGAGACTCTCCCTCTCTCTCTGCCCTTCCCCTGCTCATCTCTCAAAAAAAAAAAATCGGTCACAACCTCCCCCCTCACTCATTTATATGCCCTGGTATCTATACCCCTGGAGAGCTCTTTCTTTATGACCCTGATTTATGCAGTTTCCCTTGACCAACCCCTCTCTGCTCCACTTTACCGAATGAAACCCTTTACACTCAGGCTTGAACGCACCGCCCCCCCCC